TGATGACCTAAACAGATGACAAATTACCAGCTCTTTATAACCTTTGCTTCTCTTTTCTAATAAAAAAATTATCAAAGATACATCTTTAAGCCTCAGTTTGTCAAAGAGAAGGAAAAATGGGTTTTAAGTTGTGTGGAAATAACGGATACTGTTTTATTTATGCTTGTAGGAAATACCATTTAACAATTATTAAAGCAGTCGTGCCAGTGCAGAAGCGGTACAAAAATAATCATATGCCATCGTGTTCTGGAGAACATTATTTATTAGTACATGTGACTGTACAGGTAGACATATGGTACATCTTTCTCAGATATGACATCCCATAACAATTATGGATATTAATTAATCTTCTCATAATCTGGAACATGGAACATTTGCAGCATTTGTAAAGACCTTAAACACTATGTACATCATAATTCTGAAAATGACTGTACTTTACTTACTTTTTTTATCTGTTAATAGATGTAAAATAGACTATCGTAATAACCTTCCATCTACTGACATAAGGCCTTATTTTCACAGCCCCACTACAGCATTGACATTTATTTCACAACCATCTTCACATCTTTGCTTTCAAATGTAATATCACGTATGTCCAGAATTCACATTAAAGGCACATCAAGACTGGGCCATGACAATAAGGACCTATTAAAATGAGTATTCATACAACATTACATTACAAGTAGATGACGTCCATGTAAATATACATTTATTCCAGAAAATATACTTTCAAGTATATTTAAATATGTATACAAATAACTGATCATAATATGGGCTACATTAATAATTTAAATATAGATAATTTGTGTTATGAAACCAGAGTCCTTTCAATTCCTGTGGAGGCTCTATTTTCAATTTACACATACATACAGACAAACACACACACACACACACAAATACATGCATTCACACTGTATAGTTATAAATCCCTCAATTTGCCCATATGAACAAGGCAATAAATAGAGATATTTAAACAATAAAGTTAACCAAAAATTATCAGATACCAGTTACACAGCAGCACTGCATTATTATTAACCAGAAACTATCACATACTGGTTACACAGCAACACTGCACTATTATTAACACACTGGCTCACACAGATGTCAAATTGTCAGTTTCAGTTTCTTTCCATTACACAAAGCCAGAATAGATGGCACAATGGGAAGCATTCCACAAAAAAAATGGAGAACAAGCTTTCCTATCAACTTAAATAAAAAAATAATATGCTTGCCCCCAAGCTTCTGTAACAAGCCATTCTACTCAGAATTCTGAAACATTAAAACTAATTTAGAAGATAAATATGAACACTAGTAAGCCAATGGGTCACCTGTTTCATACATTCAGCGGGTTGTTACTAGTCAATTCTAAAGGGCTCTGACGATGGTGTATAACACTCAGGGTTAATGAATTTTTAGGCTTTGCCCAATCCACTTTTAAAGTTCTAAGAAACAGAACATTTCAGAAAACTGAATCTCTTTTCAACCTGAGGTGAAAGGGTATTTGGCACCTACTCTATGGGGTCCATTAGGAAGAGCTAACCTCAATCACTGGACACATAAGTTAATATAACTACACCTGTAGATGTATCCAAGATCAGATTTTGTCAACCAGACAGTTCTTCAAAGGCAGAGGCTGTCCAGAAAAAGAGAAAACCCCTCTTAGCTCTGTGTTTATTTCCTATGTGAAGGGCACTTCTGAAGATTTCTAACATACAAGGAATTGTCACAACATTGAGACTATCTTCAAAACAAAGTACATTCTTAGGAATTCACACATATAGAACCAGACTAGAAAGAAATCCAAAACAAACAGCATGTTGCATCTTTAGCATTCCCTATGAATGTGGCAAAAGGTATGCTGGTGAAACGAGCATCTCTGCAAACATAGGCTCAATCTCAGACATCTTCATGAAAAATCAAAATTGGCCCAACATGCTTATGCAGGAAGTCTTAGTGTAGGCTTGGATGAAGCCAGGATATCTGAAATCCGAAGTAACAGAAGGTATAAGAAATACCACAAATCAGCCCTTAACACCCTATTTGGAAATCTCCCCCATACCAGCAAGGAGGCTGGCAACCTGTAGGGATGGTCAGTATGATATGACAAACTCCTTGTGGGCATCTACCTGATTTTCATTTCGATGCTCAATTTTTGTTCCACAGATGGTGCTGGTGGAAGGCAGGTGTTGTATAAACTTTGATTTTCTTCCACATTGATGTGTCTAGATTTAGCTGTTGGTTTGGTTTGATGAATTTATTTTCTACTTTTCCATCTTAGTTTTGGGTCTTCATGTGCACTTCCAGAATTTTCAATGTGTATTTTCCTATTATCTCCCTTTGAAAAAAGCCAATCTGAAATGGTTACATAGGTATAGTTATACCAATTCTGGTGTCCCACAAAGTAGGTGCCTCGCACCCTTCCACCTGAGGATGAAAATAGATCCAATTTCTGAAACACTGTTTTTTAGAACATTACATAACTGACAAAATCCAAAAACTCAGTAAACTGGGGTTGTTGCTACTTTACTCTACAGCTTATATTTATATCACAGAGTAATGATATTATTTCACACACAGGATTCAATTCAAACTCGACATTCCATTGCACATGCAAGCACATCAACACACATATTCCAGTCCTACTGTGCGCAAAATTTTTGGAATGTTACAAAGTCATTGTTTGTATTCTTACTGTCATGGATTCGATGTTACTTCCCCATCTTATAAGACTAATGTGATAGGAGGGAAGTGGCAGGAAGGCAAGGCAGACTGGAAAAATAAATTGCTTTACATGAAGCTCCCACCTCCCATTAGAAGTTTCAGTAATCTTTGGTATGGTCATTTTATGAATAATCATTATATGGCATAAAGTGATGCCATAAGAACTACATCTTCCTGTAGTGCTCCTGCACTAAACAAAATTCATTGCAGCTTTTTAACACACAGAAGAGAGTAATAAAATGAAGCAAATCATTCTTCTTATGTATTTTAATATAGTACAACCCAGAAGTCTGACAACGCCTTGAATGAAATTTTCATGTACTGCAGAAACAATAAACGTAATGGATGCCAGGATTTTGATCTCTAGTTCCGAAATGAAATTCTTGCAGTATGTGTTAACAATAATTTATTTCAGCAAAAATGACAGAAAAAGCTTCTTTTTATGAAACTCTGAGCTGTGCAAAATAACAGTACTAAAAATATATAGGGGAAAGGGTTGTACCTTGGACCACCTTGGACCACCTTGTACTATGGCCCAGAAATAGCATTTGTGATTATCGGTGATGGGAAATTTTAGAAAAGAAATTATTTACGTTTATCAACCTGCATGAAACAGCTGATTATAAGCATACAGTCTTCTGGGTTCTAATACCATGTAGTTTTCAAAGAGCCATCACTGAACTACACAGCGTTACAACCCAGAAGACCATACTGTTCATATACACAATCATCAGAGCCTCAACTCCCAACATACATGCTGATAATTGTACCAAAGTTTCTGTTTAAAGTTGGCTAACTAATTATTTTCAAGTTTCTTTCGGTATAGTTTGCTTGCAGACTAAAGCCACCGAGCTAGTTATTATTAAGTGGCAACACATTTTACACCACCTGAAGGTATAAAGCTACAAAACAGTGCACTGTTTTTTGCCACCATATTAAACGTGAATATTATAACTGACTTGAACTTTGGCATGTCCTGTACCTTTCAAAAATTACTGACGCTTATTAGAGATCGGGATACATGCTTTCATTGCTTTCATGTTAATCTTTTTTAGATGCGACAAAGTATAGAAGTTGTAAAGAGACCAATACTGTCTCCAGAACAAGAAAAGAGATTTAATGATGCAACTGAAGCTGTGCAGCAAGGGTTGGCACTGCATACCGTTTCCAGGAATTGTAATGTTACACTGAATTGCTAAATATAATGGTACATACAGATCCATACTTAACTGTGCCATTTATGATGCAAACTCCACCAAGAATGTACGTGGATTCCCTCGACATGATCCCTTGCATCAAGTTCATTACTATGAAGTAGAAATTCATAAGAAAATTCCTGGTTTTAGGCTTTCAAAGTGGTTAATTATTAATTTTAATTCTGTTCTTGGGCTGTTGCACTGTGATATAAATGCAATGTTGCCAATGTTTTAGAGAATCATATTCATCCTTTGAATTCCCCATGGAAGATTCTCATGACACAAAATTGTAAGATACGATGAAGAGGACTAATAACCTTCTTGAGCAAAATGAGGAAGGTATTCTTAAGGTGACCTTTGGCTAACACAACTACAAGGAAAACTGGCAGTGCACCATTATGTTGCAGAATTAATTCAGGTAACACAGACAATAAAGTAGTAGTGAAGTACATGAATAGACATATTGTGAATGACAAGTTCATAAGAAATTCAGAAGTGCATACCATCAATAAAGAAGATACAATTTCAGAGTTGCCTCCTCCAGAGGTTAGGTAATCAGAAAAAAAACAGAAATTATATGTTAAAATGGAGCATTTTCACGCATACTAAAAAAACAGGTGAAGTTTCATGTTCATATCACTGTCAGTTTCTTAGTTCTTAAACTCTGAATAGTATTGTGATGTATATACCCATTTTTAGGTAACGGGTCGGTAAACACACTCCCGCAACATGCAACAGCAGAAGGACATCCATTACTAGGTAATGGACAAGTAAACATGCATTCTTGACAACAGACGACAGTGTTCTTTGCGGTGTCCATGCCAAGAAGTTATAAGAGGACACAGTCAGAAGACGGGTCACAGTACAAAGGAGTATAGTCAAGGGAACTGGGTCGACTTCTGGATATGGCAGTCAAAGGTGATTGAGAAGAAATGGCAAGAAATGAATTAGACTGTGCCAAGAAGCCTTTACTTGTGATTTAAGCTCCAGTGAGACTGTAATAAATTCACTGCCAGGAGACGACTAGTGAAAACAGGAATCTAGTGAGTGAGGAACGGTGAACTGTAACAAGTGTATAACAGCGATAGCGCTGTAATTCCCTGTAATCCCAAACTGTGTGAATGTATAAGGTGTCAATCCAATCATCCAATCCAAAACCATGTCTATACTAATCACCCCAACAAATGACAATATGAATGTAGTAATATAAGCCTGTGTTTAATTTTTACAAAATGAAAGTGTATTACATTTCCATACCTCATTAATGAATTTGTCCTATTTGCTGTGAATAAAAACTGATTCAGTGCTGTGCAAGTTAAATAAATATGTTTCTTTTTCATAATATCCCACTCCTTTATCCAGTGGTCCAAGGTATAACAACATCCTAGTGGCCCATTGTACAAGAAAAAATGTAGTCTTGAACATTGGAGCATAATTACATTTTATTTCTTTATGAGAAAACCGCTCACATAAGAAATCATTAAATGGTTATCATCTTCTCCTTAGTGGCACAAACAGTTTACAAAATTCTGCCAAAGCCTACAGTTTCAGAATTTGAAACTAAGCGAATTTTGTCAAAATCAAGATCCAAGGTACAAGCCCACATTCATATATACACTATATACACAGGTACATACCCTTTTCTGGAGGGTAATACTAATGCCTTATTCTTTGTGACTTACCCCACAGTGCCCATTATCCCCATAAAAAAGAATCTTTCTTACATTACATGGGAAAGTACAAACTTCATGAAGTTTGATGCAATATTTTCAAAGCAAAAACAATTTCATGGGAATGACTAGGAGGAAACTAGGGTCACAAAGGGACACAATCTGATATTTCTTTCCCCCTTCATTCTTGCTTCTTTGTGTCAATTTTAAGTCGTTTGCTGAATTCTTCTTGCTGCTTTTCCTTCCATTCTGGTTTTGCCTTCATACGTTTCAACTGCCCATCCCTGAACATAAAAGACAAAATTGCTTGAAAACCTCAGAAGCTTATTTCCTAAGAACATCACAAAATTACAACTGCAGCTCAATAAGGTGATGAGTGCAGTTGAATACCAGTGAGAGTAGTTGGTTGAGGGGCTATGCTACAAGCCGGAAGGTCACAGGTTCAAGTCCCGATGAGGTCATCGGATATTTTCAGCCGACCTAATCCTTCCAACCGCACTAGGACCTGGGGTTTACTGAGCCTCTTAACAGAAATGAGTACCAGGAATTAATTAAATAATTTTCTTGAGTAAAGCGCGGCCAGCGCGTAAGGCTGACAATCTTACCGCCATCTGTGAGCCGATTGTCTAGATAGTGTGGGACCCTCAGCGTCTCACGACCCCATGGGCCTTCACAGCCTGGTACAGAGATAGCTTTACTTTTCTTTTTCTTTTTTTTTTTCCTGGCACGGGTAATTTATTGATTCATTCCCATCATTGTCATCACAATCCTAATCACCATCCCATCTCACTGTAACTGTTATAAATCCTAATTCCATCACTATAATCATGCCCATCACCACCTGCCTATACAGAGTGTCCCAGGAGGAATGTGCCAGACTTCGGGAGGGTGTTCCTTATGTTAAAGTATGCCGATATAACCCAAAACACCTATGTCCAAAGTTACGGAGATAATGGCCAGAGAAGTGTGAAACTTTGACAGGTGTTACACACTTGTTGATTACCAAATACATATTAAAACTGGCAGGAATATGTGGTTTCTGTAATGTTAAAAATGTACGTAACATCAAACTAACTTGTGAGTGACATGAAGCCATTAAACTGAACTATAAAAAACTCGCACGCCATGTCAAAGTTGTCGTTAGGTTCCAAGCACTATACATGACACATGAATGGCAAGCACTGACGTGACTGCGCGTTCTGGTATGCGAGTGTGTGGGGCTAACGTGAGCTGTCATCACCACACTCAAGGACAAATATCGATAAGACTAGTCAGCTGACAGGTAAAGTGCGTGGACCCGCCAGAAGACCACACTTTTCTCGGGCCATTATCTCCGTAACCGTTCAACTTTGGACATAGGTGTTTTGGGTTATATCAGCATACTTTACATAAGGAACACCCTCCCGAAGTCTGGCACATTCCTCCTGGGACACCTGTATATATCACTCCACCATCAACATCATTATAGCCCTGTCTCCCCTCCTCACCCCAACATGTCATTAGTTTATCACCATTACCATCTTTACACTTTCATTCCCCACTCATCAGTATCATCATTCTCACTCCACCACCAATGTTCTTATCTTTTATCCTTCTCATCCACCACTACAGGCAAATTTATCATTCTCACCCCAACCCCATTATCATCCTTATTATATGCATACTCCTGGCTACAGATCCAGAGGTCCCAGGTTCGATTCCGGGCGCTAAAAGATTTTCTGAGAAGTAGTGGGTCTGGAAAGGGGTCCACTCAGCCTCATTAGGATAACTGAGGAGCTATTTCAAGGAAATAACAGCTCCGGCCTAGAAAACTGAGATTAACGGCCATGGGGATCTGTTGCACTGACGTGCAACACCCTCTATCCGCTAAAGTTGGCACTAACTTTGCCAACAAGTGGCGGTTGCTCAGTCGGTATAGTTCACTTGCGAACTACAGGCCACGGAGTTTGTTGTTTGTATACTATCACTGCCAACATTATCTCACCCCTCCAGCATTATCATCTTCATTATCAACATCCCCATGCTGCATCATATTCATTGCATTATCTCCCCATTCCCAAAAAACATTACCATCTCAACCCATGGACCCAATCCTAACCACTTTTGTTATCACCGTCACCCCCAATTCACCCCATGATTCTCATTATTCTCATCCCACACTCACCCTTCCACAATCCACAAAACCAAAAGTGCAGTTATCTTTCAGCAACAGTTCAACTGCTGGGCACAGACTCTGAAGGTGCAATAACTCTAATTAAATTTAAGCCTCCTATAAGTCCAAAGAATTTTAACCTTTATGGGACGGGCCATTTAAATTCCGGTAGTGGCAGCGGGACGGAGTTAATTTAAATGCCCGCCATTGTAGAGTAATAAAAATTGTAATCATGTTACTCAAAATGCTGTGATTTCTACAATTTTTGTGATAAACGAACGAAATAAACGCTACTTTTATCTAGAAAGTATATAGAATCAGATACTGTAATTTACAGATTTTAGAATCTGTAAAAATTGTTACACTGATTCCAAAAAAAAAAAATTTCCCCAATTTTGAGCGTCTGTCTACAAAAATGCATAAAGCTTCTGCACAAAACCTTCCTGCAGTATAAATGCATGCTTCTGACTCATGGTCTGACTATGTGTTATCTGGAGGAGAGAGAATGTTTGTTTTCATTGCACATTCTCCAGTCAGTGGGCTTCTTGCACAGGAGTGTGGGCAGTTCTTATCCTACATTGCCTTATGAAACTCTGTCTGTTTATTCATGGACTATCCACATAGAGGCAGTTCTTGGAATATCATCTCATACCACTTGCTTCCATCCCTTCAGAATAAACTGTGACGCATTCTGAATGGTGTGATTTACGAGCGGCCTCCAAATTTCGACTCCTTCAATGCGAAATGGGAATGGTGTGATTTACAAGCGGCCTCCAAATTTCGACTCCTTCAATGCGAAATGGGACCATGGTGCATAGTTGAAAGTGCAATGTTTTATAAGCGTTATGAATAGAGGACACCACTCACCATCACTGGCTTACTTCCTGCTAATACGAGACTAACATTGCGTGCATGCGCTTCGCGTGGAAAACAGAGTTAATTACGGACAAAGTGCATGAATTGCAATGTCGGACTCTGCATTCAGTGACATGCAACATTCAGTTAGATGACACAGGAGGGAAGACAGTCTACTTATAAAGCTGGTGTCCAAAAATAATGTAAGTAGAACAAGAATTTCTATCTTAAAATTAGATTTTAAAACACTGTGCACACGCGTGGACTGCGCATACCCATACGGTGTCTTTTGGCCACTCGGCTTTACTTTAAAGGTCCCCATACGGTGTCCTTCGGCTCATAAAGGTTAACATCATATTCTAATAAAAAGATCTTAATTACGATGGAGATGTAAAAACCAGTGCATTAACCTTTATCATCTCCAATTAAGAATTTAACAAACAGAGCAAACCATCTGATTTAAACTGGCACAATTAAATAGTACTGAAGAAATATACACACTGAAACATTGATTTTACACGTCTGAAGGGACCATCTAAATAAATATAAAATGGAGTAATGCGTACAATCAGAGAAATTAAACTGATCTAACATAGAGAAGAAGAGGCCGCGCCATAGCTCAAACAGTTAGTCACTGGCTTCCCACCACAGCAGCCCATGTTCGATCCCAGGTCTGGTCAAGTGGGATTTGTGGTGAACAAAGTGGCGCTGGAGTGGGTTTTCTCTGAGTACTTCGGTTTCCTCTGTCAATCTTCATTCCACCAAATTCTCCATCATCACAATCACCCGGGGCAGGTACAATAGGCCAATCAGTGGCCACCGTGCTGAGTGGACCCAGTTGGACTCCACCCCCCACTAAGCGAATTTAATTTTTTAGCATAGAGAAGAATTCTTAGCTTTATACCATAACTTAGGCAAGACATATGAAATATGCATGTTTGAACACTGTAATGCAAGCCCTTTGAAATATGCATGTTTCAACACTGTAACAAAAATACAATAATCAGTCAAATAGAGTCACCTGTTTCTCTTTTCCTTGAGCTCTCAGTCTATATAGTTCACGTCTATCTTTGTTAATGATAATCGTGTTGCAAATGGTAGGATGAGAATATGACAGATGTGGGTAAAAGTAATGATGCCAGTTAACGATGGAGATGGTAAAAATGAAAATGGGGTTATACTAATGATAAAGGTGATGGTAATGGTGTTGATGATAATTACTGGTGACAGTGGTGGTGGTTGTGGTTGTGATGGCAGTGGTGGCTGACAATAAGAAATATGATTATGGTGGTGGGTGGAGATGATAAAGGTGATTATGAAGATGAAGTGTATGTGTGTCATGCTTCTTATATTCTGACCCAGAAGCCAGGGTTACCACCCTTTTATAGTATGGTGAACCTGTTTTCTGGGAATGAGCACCAAAGGGGTGAGCCACATGGATCAAAACCCTAATAACCATACTAAATAAGTTGTTCCTTACAATTTGTATATTATTTGTAAAGGAGAATCTATCTCTGCAACAAGCTGTGGAGGCTAATAAAGTTGTGAGAAGTCAAGGCTGTCATATTTTTCTACATAATCAGCTCATAGACAGCAGTGAGGCTGTCAACCTTATGAGCCAGCCACACTCTACCCCCAGGAAGATTCCTGGTACTCATTTCTGTTAGAAGCTGAGTCGACCCAAGGGCCACAGGGCGGCTAGAAGTATTAGGTCAACTGAAAAATCCAATGACCTCATCAGGAAATGAAGCTGCAACCTTCTGGCTTGTAGCATAGTGCCTCAGCCAACTATACAACCACATGCTCCCTCTTATTTGTAAAATGTATGTATTATTTCAAAATAAAGTACAAAGGTTATTCGGAAACTAAACATAAAAAGTCAAAATAAATATTTGTAAAGAGTTTTTTTTTATTCACTCGTAGCACTTTTACAACACACTTTTATTTACTTTTCAACACAGTCACCATGGATCGCAATGCACTTAGTGAAGCCGGGAACTAGGTTTTTATATTCCAGCACTGCAAAAATCTCCCGCCTGCTCTCTTAGCCATGTCATCACCATGCTTTGAACCTCATCATTGCCTGAAAACGTCTTTCCAGCTTTCAGGTTAGAAAACAAGTGATAGTCGCTTGGTGCAAGGTCTGGGCTGTGTTGTGGATGGGTCAATACTTCCCACTTGAAGGACTGCAACAAATCCTGCATGGCATAAACAGTGTGTGGACAGGCATTATCATGCAGTAAGCAGACTCCTTGTATTAGCATTCCTCTCTGCTTGTTCTGAACAGCCTGATGCAGTTTCTTCAGCATCTCACAGTAAGCAGCAGCATTGATGGTGCCTCCTCGAGGCAAAAAAATGATAGAAGTGGCCCCTTCCTGTCCCAGAAGATGGTTGCCATGATTTTTCAGTTTGATGGTGAAATTTTGACTTTTTTTGTTGGTGGTGAGTGTGTGTGGCACCAGTGCATTGATCGTCACTTATTCTCAGTTGTGTGATGAGATCCCCAGTTTCATCTCCTGTCATAATATGTTCCACAAAGTCATCACCTTGATCCTTGTAATGCGCGAAGAATGCCTGCGCTGGAGCCACTCAAATTTCTTGTGATCATCTGTCAACATTTTCAGCATCCAACATGTGTACAGTTTCCAATAGCCTAATATTTTTGCAACAATTTCATGAAGAACAGTTCTTGACACTTCTGGACATTGTTGATGAAGTTCATCGATGGTTAAACGTCTGTCAGCACAAACGTTTTCATCAATTTTTTGGATGATTTCATCAGTGATAAAGGATGGCCTTCCACTAATTTCATCATGAACTTCTTCCTGCTTCAAATTCTTGACACCATTTTGCCACGTTTTGCCTGTTCATAACATCTTCACCGTAAACAGAAACAAGTCGGCGACAAATTTCAGCAGCAGTTTCTCCTTTCATGTGGAGAAATCTAATTACTGTACAAACCTCACGTCTAGCAGGATTCTGAATTGACACAACATTATTAACACATACTGTGTGCACAACTTTGCCATGACTGTGACTGGTGAACTATGCCCTGTCATATGGTTCCTATCTCACATGGCAGCACTGCTATTCCTGAAGAAAAAAAAAATCCCTTGCATTTTTACTGGACTTGTATCTTTACTTTCCGAATATTCCTCGTACTATGGGCTTTGGTCCATGCGACTCACCCCTCCCCTGTTCACACACAGAAAACAGTCTCACCATACTGTAAAAGGGCAGTACCTCCTGGCTTCTTGGTCAGAACATCAGAGGCACAGGACACACACACATGATATAGGTGCTGAAGATGATAATGGGGTGAGATGGGGTGGTGATGATAAAGATGTGGGGCATGATGATGATGATAGGGTGAGGGTGTTGACGGGGTGAAGAGGATTATAATAATGGTGATGATGCCAGATAATATGCTTAGAGTGAGGTTAATGGTCAGAATCATCTCACCACATGAGGTCCACAAGGCCTCCTTGACGTGCAATTGCACTCTTCACCCTGTTGGCAAAGTCAATTGCACTCTCTCCTTCCTGCTGGTACATGGGCGGCAAGTACCAGACATCGCAGACAATGGCCCAACTTGTCATCATTAAATATAAGTACTGCATCATGGAGTAGCGACTGCTGTTCCAGAAAGCATCACCAAATTTGGGGTCATACTGAAAACAAATAATACAGATTCATGTATTTAGAATGCACCCCCTTAGTCATCAGTAAGGCTTTCCATCGTGGTTACTGGCATGCATGCTACAATGAATTAGATTTTCTACCACCAAAACATGATGTCTGATACAAACCCTTGATCAAGAAATTTTACAAAGTTTCAAAACCTTTCACAGATGAGGCAAGAGGCAAACAAGCATCCAATCTACAGATGACAGTTTCAAAACTTCATCACACACTGTACAACAAACAGGCCTCCATCAATTCTAAATGCATTTCATTTGGCAAAACACACCTAGAGTAAAATTACCAACACATGTATTGTAAATTATTTTACAAAATCAGGATTAATGTGTTGTGAAGTTCAACAGTACCAGGATTTGGACCTCCTGGGGAGCCTGTTGACAAAATGAACATGAGTTTAATGAGTAAGTTGATGTAGCTCATGATAATGAGGAATGTAAGATTAATCTGAACGAATCCCGGTCAGCAAACACCAAACTCATGACACTATCATCATCCTGAGAAGACAGCTGGAGAAAGGTAGAGCAAATTATTGTGACTACAGACTGTAATATGGTATTGAAAACACTCTCAACAGGCTCAATAGGTCCTTCTACCTGTTTCAAACTTCAGTTCCCTAAGTCTTGGTCTGCAGACCAATCTGCATCAATACAAACAGAAATTAAATTCATGGAGCAACTTTTAGTGTGGATGCCCAATACTAAATATTATTAAAGATACGACATAAGGATGACAAATCCTGAACAGTTTTAATATTTTTAATATTTAAAATTTATCAATATATATGATGAATATATATTTTAGTTATTTTAGTATAAAGACAACAGGGCATGCAATGAAGTAGTTCGACGTACATCGAAAAGCACCTGAAGATGGCACGTTTGTGCTGAAACATGTAGTGCAAGAGAGAAGAGTAAGGTGAATAAATGTATGCACTGTAAGACGGTCAGAATAAATCATGGACATTATTAAAATCCATTAGTAGTGTCAGTGATAAAACATCTATATGGACAGATAAGTCCATCATATCCCACCATGCGCTTACTAGATTCATATGATACAAGTAACACCTAAAATGACATTCCCCTAATTGAAAAAAATAACTGACATATCAGCCATCACTAACCTTGATTGCCACTGGATAAATTACACTTCCCACTTCAAAACTGCCTTTCTTGAACTGCATAACAGATGTGTTGTTGATACAAGTGCCTTCAGGGAAGATGAGAATTGGAGGGTTTCTTGGGTCAGACACATGCTGCCGCAGCCTCTTTGCTACTGCCTCTCTGTCTTTAACTTCAGATCTTTCAAACCAAATGTGTGGGGATGCTCTTGCTAGTGCCCTCTGCAGGATTCCAAGAAACCCACCATGCCGCTGACCAATCTGTAGAACAATCATAGATGATCATTTCTGTCTTCTCATGAACCGTTTCTACATTTGATGTAAATTTATACATTCACCCAGAGTGATCTGAATTAGAGAAGAAATGTTGTTGCCAATATACTGTTTACAGGAGAACCTCACTGTTACTGTAGAGATGTACTGACCTCAAGCATTCACTTGTTTTTGTGCCACCAAGACCGTCAACACAGCCACTCTGCTTATCATACACACTACAGAATAACATACAGTGATCAGGAGTTTGTGGGTTGAAAGTGTCAGAAGTAACAGAAATTCAGTGAAGACTGACAGCCCAGTAAGGTGACAGTGTTTTGCCATAGGAGAACATTTTAGACACAGAGTGATATGTTTAAATGTGGCCAAACAAGTGTCTCTGATACAGAAGATTCACAAAACTCATTCACATTTATGAATGAAGGAAACACTGAACAAGTTTTTGCAGTGATTCTTGACAAAAGAAGGGTGAAATGGCACACTAGCAGGCAATCAACCACATTTCTAACTATAAAATCATCCACCACACACTTCACTCCTATGTGTCTATGCAAGATGGATTCCCTAACAGCTTACTGCACAACACAGGCATAACCATCTGGACATCTGTAACCACCTTTTGCACTGATTATCATAAAAGTGACACCATTCTAAATTGCACGGTCACTAGTAAAAATAAAGCTATCCCTGTAACAGCACGTGAAGGCCCATAGGGTTCTGAGGCATTGAGGGTCCCACATTATCTAGACAATCAGCTCAAAGAGGGCGGTAAGGTTGTCAGCCTTACGCACCGGACTCGCTCTACTCCCCAGGAAAATTATTTAATTAATTCCTGGTACTCATTTCTGTTAGAGGCTGAGTCAACCCCAGGGCCATAGTGGGGCTGGAAGGATTAGGTCAATTGAAAAAAATCCAAATACCTCATCGGGACTTGAACCCGCGACCTTCCGACTTGTAGCATATTGCCTCAACCAACTACGCTACCGCATGGCCCTGCACTGTCACAAGTGACAAAACAAAATCTACCATTATGAGCTGGAGAACTAATAACAAGATATACAAAGGAAAAACCTGACATCCCCTCTCAAGATTTCCTAGGATTCTCAAGGACCAATCCTTGAACATTAAGAGGAAAGGAGTGTGGCAATACACAGTTCAAGTAACAGTGTGATGCTGTGTGACAAGTTGAAGCCAGCACATAAGTAATATATAAGCAAAATTAGAATTGAACTCCAACAAGTGCAACAGTATCTTTTAATAACAAAATAAAGTAAGATTTGAGGCTTTCACGGCGGTGACTATGAAGAAAGCAGTCTTCTGGGATTTGGCACCGTGTATATGTGGTGTTAACCGACGTTTCGGAGGAACGTATCGCCTCCATCTCTTTGCTTGCAGATTTCTTATATATTTTTTCTTCTACCCTGAAGATAGAGGCGATACGTTCCTCCGAAACGTCGGTTAACACCACATATACACGGTGCCAAATCCCAGAAGACTGCTTTCTTCACAAAATAAAGTGTTTACATATTTAGGAAAATGATGGCCATCATAAGAAGGCAATCATCAATGACTGAAACACATAATGACTTATTTTATTATTAAAAAACACTGTTGTACTTAATGGAATTCAATTCTAATTTTACTTATGTTATAGAGTGCAATGGCTGAAGACAATGTCTGTCATAAAAATGAAGCCATCAACTTGCATTAAACACCAAGTTAATGTACTGTTGGATGCCAATGCCTATTCCCATAATGGTGTAGCACTCCAGAAGCTCTGGTATGTGAGTCTGGAACATCCACCACACAGCTCTGACTTTGCCACATAAGGCTATCATTTGTTTGGACCCCTCAAAAATGTTTTGAAAGACCACCATATTGCCACAAGCTGAAGGGGGCAGTACATATGTGGTTTATCATCCAGCCAAAAACATTTTTTCTCTGAAGGAATACAAAAGTCTGCTCAGTGCTGGATCAGATGTGTTGAAAAGCAGAGGGGCTATGTTGAAAAAGATGCGCTTGCAAGATCTGTATTGTTATTCTGTTAATTTTAATAAACACACTTTTTTTATTGCTAGTGGGGTGGGACTAGGTCCCTTGTACTGCAGCCACTTCTGGCCTATTGTACTAGCCCCAGATGATAGGCGAGGGTGATTGTGGAGCAATTGGTGGAATGAAGATTGGCAGGGGAAACCGAAGTACTCGGAGAAAACCTGCCCCAGTGCCACTTTGTCCACCACAAATCCCACTTGACCAGATCCGGGATCTAACCCGGGCTGCCGCGGTGGGAAGCCAGTGACTAACCGCTTGAGCTATGGCACGGCCCAATAAATACACTTAGATACTATCTGACTTATCCTTATCATCAAGTTGTCAAAAAAGCCACAAAGACAAATCTACCTGAACAATAAAACATCAGAATGCTAAAACTATCCCAAAAACTGAGTAATTTCCACAAACATTACTGAAAATATTCAAACAAAAGCAAACATAATTTGCATTCAGACAAGAATTTTCAACGGTACTCTACCACCAGAGAACATAAAGCTGACATATACCTGTACTCACTGAAATACTGCAAATACAAACATCCCTTGTTCAATGTTAGAACCCTCTATTTAGTAAATGAAGATGTGTAGGCAACTTCCTATATGCTGCAGTACTGAAATAGCCGTACACATACACACAATTTATTACCTCTACCACATGCTCAATTTACAAAATGACCACATTGACAAAAGACATCCTCCACTCCACTATGAAAGCTCACACATGCAACAAGTCTTCTTATGGCTGCATACGCATCACCTTACTCATATGGCTTTACTTAACTACAAGGGTTTGATAAAAAGTAGTGGCAACACTGTTGTAACATGAAAGATGTGCATCAGGTGGCACTAGCGCCATCTGTAGCTGATAGCAGAAGTTCAGTTGAAGTAGTGCAGTGAGTGGCTCTGGTTGTGTTTCATTGAGTTGCATTGTGCATCGTCTTGAAGTTCAGGAGCCCAGTTCAAGCACCCTAACAACATGTTTACGAAACAAGAACAACGCTCCTGGATAAAAATTGAAGTTGCACAAGGTCGTAGTGCACAAAACTGTTATCAGGGACTGTGAGAAGCATGTGGTGATGCTGCTTTGCCATATCGCACAGTGGCACAGTGGGCGATTTGTTCCATGAAGGGAGGGATGCCACTCAGGATAACCCCATGTTGACAACCACACAATTCAGCTTCTTGCTCCTTTGCTGGAGGTGGATCATCAATGGGCTGCGCGGGAGTTAGCTGCTGAGGTGGACATATGTCACAAAACTGTGCTCCACATTCTGCAAGATATTCTTGGATACCACAAAATTGCAGCACGTTGGGTACCCCATACAATGTCTGAGTTGCAACAGTCCAACATTATGCAGTTGCACAGGCCTTGTTGGACCGGTACCAGAGAGGTGATGACTTCTTTGGAAGGATCGTCACTCTGGACGAAACTTGGGCTCGCTCATATGAACCGCACTTGAAGCGACAATCAAATGAATGGAAGCATCCTGGCTCTCCTCGTCCGAAGAAAGTGCGCCCTACACAGAGTAATGTGCAGGCGATGTTCATTGTGGCATATGACATTGATGGAGCAATACTGCACCACACTGTGCCCCGACAGACAGTAAACGCTGCTTACTACTGCAATTTCCTGCGTAATCATCTCTGTCCAGCAGTCAGAAGAAAGCGACGACACTTGTTGGCAATGAACACCATCATCCTTCATGACAATGCAAGGGCTCATACTGCTGACGCTGTCAAGGATCTCCTTCACCCCTGGCAATGGGAGATACTGCAACATCCACCATACTCACCCGATATGAGTCTGTGCGATTATGATCTCTCTGCCAAAATGAAAGAACCACTGTGAGGGACACGTTACAACACAAGATAGGAGATTATTCATGCTGTAGGGCGGTCACTGCTGGACATTATCAGAAGTGGACGCACTGATGGTGTACAATGCCTTCCACAAATTTAGCAGAAGGTGGTACACATAGGGGGCAATTATAGTGAAGGAATGCAAGTGTGTTTACCTCAGGTAATAAAGTAATTTCAGAACTATAGAGGTGTTGCCACTACTTTTTGTCCGATCCTTGTACATTCATTCTTCAGAAAATGAATTTTAGTGCATGTTTTCAGTTTAATGTAGTACAGTGCAATAGTTTGTAGAATATATAATAAGAACACAGCAGCTGTCAGTTTTAGGTTTGAAGGCAGAAACTAATAAATTAGTGGAGCTAAGCATGTTGATACCGTCTGTCTGAAACATCTCTGAGAGTACATCATACCCTGAGAAAGCAACCTCACAGAAGGGAAGTCCTGCATATTTAATGAGCTCTCTGGTATGACAATTATGGTTCTCACTGTATGTTGTATTGTAATTTTTAATGAGAACATAATGAGCCACATCACCATCTGATGATGATGCAACCTCAAAGATGCTTTAGACACAGTATATGAAGATAGATCATGAACATATCTATAGTTTAAATCTGAAATATTGTTTGTATGTCAGTGACAACAAACATGATGACTGGCATGAAATGCTGAGGTTATATCTGACAAATTTAAGGTAGACAGATCCTGTACTTCAGTAAAAAACGTTTTTCACAAAAAAAAATACGAATAGTAACAGATCTGTAGGACTAGGAATCTAGGTAAAATGAAAGTAAGCTTTATGAGTTCTATTTGGAATTCCTTATTTAAACACCTCTAAGTGGGGTGACAAAAGAACAGATATTTTAATAGCCTATATCATCTTCTTATCAGGCCATCACTAACAAAATATAAAGGAATCAAATAAATGATGTGAAACAGAAGATGAAAGACTGCCCTGATAGCACACAAAATTTCTAACTTGAACTATTTCATACATTTTGTCCTGCATAATTTTTAACTTTACATGTTTGATGTGGGTGATTATACTGTCAACAGTAATGATATATAACCGTGTTACCTTCACATTGTAAATAAGCATGTTTAGATGTGCTATTAATAATGAGACTATTATTTATATTGAACAATGTCAGAGAGAGTATTTGTCCTTGGAAATCCATTTCTCTTCACCAGTCTATGAATCAGAAAAGGATGGGCACCACTGGTCTCATGAATATATGTCCAAATGCAAGAAAACCCAAGGATGTTCATGGATGAAAGTCAGGTATTACATAGTGTTAACACTAACAGAGTTATATTTTCAAAATGTAAACATAATCTTCACAAATTATACTCAAATCCCAAACTTTTCATTAATGCACTACAGAAGGTATTAAGTACAAGATAGCACAGTATTTACTAATCAATAACATCCCACAACCTACCAGAGCATAGCAGTTGTCACACGCAAGGACAAGAACATCTATAGGTGATGTATGATTAGCAACACAGATGCCACACTTAGGCCGGTTTTCTGTATTATGGTATGTGATTACAGCTGACAGGGCACTGGACAAGACGCCAAAACACATGATAGATACATGGTAATTAAGCCAGCGTTTGAACTTGCCCTCACGAACATAGCCAACAATCCCAGTGCAAATTGTGAGCCACATCACCTGTAACCAATTAAACAATAACCCAAGCTACCACCTTACAATCAGCTCTAGAACACAACAAACTTGACTGATAATACCAGTAGAATAAATGAAAAATATGGTTCTACACATTAAAAATTACAGTGGAATGTCCTGGCTTAAGTAACATTTTCGTTTTATATATATATATGCCTCAGTCATATTCCCAAACACAATTCAAAACTTAGAAGTCATACCAATAGTATTTAATTGCAATCTGAAGAAAATAATTAACTGATGTTTATCAACTCTGAACTGAAGTACTGGCTGTGTCAACTGAGAGCAAATAGAATAAGGAGTGAAAAATTGTGTTGTTAAGACTACAGTGCTTCTTTCTGCCAAAGTAAACAGTCCATTTTCATGACCTTCCTACTGTCATGATAAATATGCATTACTTCATCATCATCCCTTCAAGTATGACTCCAGGTATCTTCATGTTCTGATGGACTGGTTTGCCAGTTGCGAGGCTCTGACAGTGTGTGGTACACTGTGCACAATCTCAACATGTAAAGCAATTCAGCAAATGAGTTCTATATCAAATAATTAACACATCATTATAAATAAACTGAAACTTAAAACTCATTAAAACTGACTCACTAAACTGAAATACATATTATGTTAGGATAACAGTAGTCCTTGTTCAGACACTTGACTCATCATAGTTAAGATGATGGTGTGGCTTGAGCAAAACAAAGTCAATTTCTCCAATCCAGTCAATAATTTGTTCTTCAATGTTTGGTATTTTGGTCACATACCACATCTCAGAGAACATTTATATGTTTGCTTAAGGAATAAATTACCTCACTACATTGTGTAATATATAGATACACAATGTAAAGAAAGAGTGATAAACATGAAAATTTCCCCATATAAAAATTACTAATAGAACAAGCTTCCAAAATTGTCAAAATGTTTCTCTCTAGCAATCAACACTGTAAATCCAATAATATTATTTTGGAAATAAGTTGTCTGAACAAAATTTCTATTAATAACAACAAAGAGACAACTAAATTGAATATTTGTGTAATAACACATGTCTGCAACCAAAACACTGCATAGGATATTTTTACTCTTTCTTATAGATTTTTACTCACTAAAACCGGAAATAATAGTAAAAAAAAATCCATCACGTCGATTTTTTTTTGCAAAACTCATATTTTTAGTTTAATTTTGTGTGAAATTTCTCTTCATCATGAAATCTGGTATCCTATTGTTGATTCTAAAAACCTAATAATACCCTAACTATTACTAGAATGACTAACCTGATAAACCATGAGACTTGGTATGTATATGTATATTATGGCATCTGAGGTCATCTCAGTGGTACACTTCAAATCATGCTCATCAGTAATACCAACACTGTAGCCTCATAAATTGTATTGTTTTATTGACTGCATTTCGCACACCTATTAAAGTTTTCTCCACTTTTCATATCAGATACCCAAATTACAATGAGAGGAAAGTAGGCGATTAGTTCTTCCCAGAACTTCTTGTTAAAATCTATGATTGTCCTTTACACAAATGTTAGTGTGAAAAGGGAACATGCAACAAGAGACCATTCTCCACGTTTCATAATCAAAGATTTCTTATATGCAGTTATGAACATGTTAACCTCCAGCTCCTCCTCCAAATGCCAGTTACAACAATCCAACTGGACATCACGCACACAAAGATACGGTTACCACTTCCAAAAGCACCTACAATACAAGAGGCCCTTCAACACCAGAATTACTGACAACTGGCAACACGATGGACTCACCAGAGAGAAGCAGTTCTCTGTGGACAGCATAACAATGTCGATAGGTGATGTGTGGTTTGCAACACACACCCCACCTGAAGGCATATACTGCTTGTTGTGCACGGTGATGATTGCTGATAAGGAACGGGCCAAAATGCGAAATGTTATGAGGTAGGCATGCTTGTGGAGCCAGCGTTTCATATGCCCATCAGGAACCAGACCAATAAGCAACATTGCCATGACAATCCAAACAGTCTGTGAGAGAAACATGGTGACCTCTACTGCTAAAGACTATGCAAGCTAACGTCCATAAGAAGGAACAAACCAGTCAAAACAATTATTTTGGACAGGTTACCAATTTAAAATTCAGGGTATGTCTCCAGGACACAATAAACAGACACAACAATTTAAGCAATAGAATATAAGAGTATAGAGAAAAATGTTTGTAACACTAACAGAAAACAGATATCTGCTGAACTTCTGAACAGGTCTGGCAGCATTATCCTGCTGGAAACAGAAATATTGCAGACCATGAGAAATATAGTAAATCAAATACAAAATGGAACCAACAACAGACCTACAGAATTCAAACCAAGAAGTAAATGATGAGCACATTACAGATTTCCTTGATAAAATACATATTAATGCTAGTGCTGGCTCTAGGATTTCATTTTGAGGTGTATTTAAAAAAATTAAGAAAATCTACATTTTATTAACCCTTGATGTACTGAGTTTAATTTATTAGACAAATATCTTATTTGTTTGTATGTTTTAATAGTAGTTCTCACCAATGGAAGGTGCAACTATCTTTCAGTATCAAAGAGATGGCAGAAGAACATACATTCACTGATGTTATTAAAAACCAAAGGTACTCAGAGCTGAAGGACTTCTGTGCAGGAAAACTCATGCATAGGATGGTAAGGGTCTGAGGTGCTCATTGCAGTGGCTATGAGAAGCAGTCTTCTGGGTTATGTCACTCTCAAATGTTGGGCTCCCTTCAAGCTACATGGAATTAGAAACCAAAAGACCATTCTCTTCAAGGGTTAATATATTCATAAAAAAAGTACGCTATTAACATAAATATTGGTCAATATTTTGTTTCTCTTTTCCTAACTAAATGCTGAAAGGCAGGCAATAGTCATGATCTGTTTCAAGACACTATCTTATAAAACTGTATGTACAAAATCATGGGAAATCTCACTCCGGTAACTGGCACACCAGCCACAATTCAAACCAATTGCCTGTGAGTACAAGTCAGATTTGTTTCTACTTGAGTGATGGACTGTTAATGAAAATATCAAAATGTTTTCGTGAATGAGACTGAAATTAACATCTGGAAAATTTTAACTTAATATTTTACCAAATTTACAATGTGGGACATGTAAAAATAGGATACTCATAAAAATTAGGACTTTTCTAGAAATTATGAGTTGTGTACCATTATACGCATCTGTTAAAGCTGTGCTAGAGACTGTCAGAGTTCACTGGCATAAATTAATAAACACATGAGGATCATCTGGTAATTCTGGTTATAACAGCAAGTGACTAATCACACAACACACATCTCAGAACATTTTGTTATGAACCATCTAACCAATGGAAGACTCTATTATACTAGAATTGCAATGGAACTCTGTATTTACTAATCTGACAAAAACCTTTACAGAACTGTCAAAACAACCAACTCTTGACTGACATTTACGGAAGGATAATGGACAAGCTGCATGTCTCAACTATCAGCAGTAAATATATTAACTTCACAGTCCTGACTTTGTAAGGATTAATGGATACAACTGTTCCTTATTTCAGTTCCATGAATAATTCATTACAAGAATAATCAAAAGAATTGAACATTTATATTTTAATATTAGATTCTTTTTTGTATTATAACCATGAACACAACACAATGAGTGATATGGAAATATCTTCAATGGAGACAGTACATGTTAATGTACATTTTACATATTTATTACAAATATAGCTATGCTACATGTTTCAACCACAATTCAGTCATCATCAGGCCTTAAATGAACATATCTCAAGTAATTAAATTAATTAAATTAAATTAACATGGATCTGTATTGTATCCAATGTGTTTAATTACTTGAGATATATTCATTTAAGGCCTGATGATGACCAAATTGTGGTCAAAACATGTAGAATAGCTGTATTTGTAATAAATAAGTAAAATGTACATTAACATGTACTGTCTCCATTGAAGATATTTCCATATCACTCATTGTGTTGTGTTGATGGTTATAATACAAAAAAGAATCTAGTATTATACATACAACAGGATGCAATCTATAAAGTTTATATTTTAAATATATAACAGCGTATTCTTCACTACTGCCCTGAAAGAAGACTACAACACCATTTCATTACATAATAGAACCTGCTCATGTGAATACTGTAATAACAGCATGTGAAGAGAGATAAGATTCATAAATATGTCATGTTTACTTAAAAACTAGGACAATGTAGGATGAACAGTAAAATTTACATATAATGGAATATCAAGCTCTTAATTCTACACAAAAAACACATAAAACATACTCCATGTGTTTATGACTCAAATACTCGTGTATATGAATACTGCTGTTTCTGAGAATACGCATTTTCAGTTTCATTTCATTCTTTCTTCCTTTATCTTTTTACTTTCTCCAGCAGTTCAGCAATGTATTCTGCAGACATACAGTTACTAGTCATTTTTAACTTTTCCCCATTCGGGATTGTTACTTCTCAGATAAATTTGTGAAATCTTTCTATATACATATAAAAGTATTCAAACAAACTACTTCCAGTTATAGTACTGCTTTCCTTTCTCTTTCTCTAGTCAACGGTCACCATTTCTTACAGCTTTTCACTCCACATTCATGAAATCATATAATAAAAATCACAGACACATAAGTGTACCCTGTTCTTCCTTTTTGTTCCTCTGTTCATAAACTATGATTTGCAGTGTCACAGTTTTCACTCCACACTTATGGTACCACCTAATGCAAACTTCAGGAGCATTACATTACACTGGGCTCACTACAACTAGGAGCATGGGAGATGTCTCAGCAACAGCATTCCACCACCTGTGGTTGACTCCAGTCAAAAACATTTACCAGTTATCTGTAGCTACTAATCACTTGTTCTGCAACTAGACAATCTCATATAATACTCCACCAGCATCGGAAGCACTGCTTTCACTGCTATCATCAAAATAACTGTTACCATCCATCCCCCCCCCCAAATTTATAATAATACTGTCAAACTTGCCATCAAAAACTATTTCACATAACCTGTTTCTGTGTTCAATCTCGTTTACATGTTCACATAATGGGAGCCACTTTTCTTTCCCTATGGCCTTGAATATTTCTTTGCAAATCACTGATTCTATACCACACAACACATTTCTGAACAGTTTCTGGTAACAACTTCTTTACTGCTTGACTTATCCAAATAACCGCATCTAGAACCGAGACAGTTCTTCCAAGTTCAGAGGCGGATGATGTAGAATCTATATTGACGAGCAAATATTGCATTAATAATTTACGATAGTGGACCTTAACATTCCAAATGATGCCCTGATCCATTGGTTGAGAAACACTAGTGGTGTTTGGAGGGAACCAAGCAAGTCGTACGTTGGAAAGTTCGATATGGGGGTGGCATGTTGCGTTATCCAAGAACAACAAAACATGCCGGTTTTGCATTTTCATTCTACCATTGAAGGCCGTTAACCATTCCTCCATGATCTGTGACATCATCCATGCCTTTTTGTTGGATCTCCACTCAACGGGAAGTTTCTGTATGTCCGTGTTTCGGAAGCATCGTGGCTTTGCTGCCTTGCCAATCACTATGGTTTTCTCCAATTCTCCTGACATAAAACCACTTAGAAAAACAGTCAATCTTTCTTTGCACAGTTTTCCTCCCAAACATTTTTCACCTTTCAGACATAGTGATTTATTCGGAAGCACGCAGAAGAACAGTCCAGTTTCATCACCGTTCACTATGTTTTCAGGTTGATATCCCTCGATTACGGATAGCAATTTAGCTTCCCATTCCTCAATGGTCTCACTATTTACATCACTTGATTCACCACAAAGTTCATTAAAAACTATTCGACATCTTTTGCGAAAAGTCTCCAACCATCCATTAGATGCTTTGAATTCAGTCTTCCCCAGTTTTTCAGCGACTTTTTTAGCATATTCCTGTACCATAGGGCCCGACAACCGGTGATTTTTCACCCTCAGACTGACAAACCACTCCCACACTATTTCATTAACGTCTTCGTTTGTAGTTTTCTCAAGTTCTCTTTTTATTTTTCCATTAGCACAAGTTTCCCACTGCTTCAAAGTTTCCATTTTCTTCTTTAGAATCTCATACACTTGAGTTTTACTGACATTAAACATCTTCATGATCTGCCGAACAGACAATTTATCTCACTCACTCGTATGAATCACTTTTAATCTTGTGTTAAGATCAAGCACAACTCTTGTCTTTGTAGCCATGATGACAACTGCTCGACTAAAGTAAAACTGTAGGCCTAGAGGCCTTACTGAATACAATTTCCAGAAGGGGAAAACAATTCTGCTGAATCTCAGTGCAGGTATTGCAGTACCGTTAGAAGCTTATTTTAAAGAGTTAGAGAAAACAAAATTCTGTAGAATGTATAGGATGCCTAAAATTATTCTAAACGATGCATTCTGGAAGACTGGAAATTTTTCGTATAAAGGCTTATTTTGATTTCTGTTGTCCGCGTTAGAATCCATTGAATCCAGGTTATTTAGCATCTTTTTCAGCCCCAAAGTCAAGGGACAGATTTCCGTTTAATAAAGGGTCCATTTAAGGCAGGTTTTACTGTATATTAAAATGGCTATGATTCAAATTCATTCTCACCCTAATGTAAAAATAATGTTTATAGAAATCAGGATTTTCATTCAATAACAGATTTTATACTTCTGTACAGATTTAAAGTTGCATACTTCAGTCCAGCTCCCTCACTGAACTAAGCTCAAGTTCAGATGTTTTCAAATGCAAAACATATGATATTATTCTTCAAGAAAAATACTAATAAAGGGCTAGAACTGTTTTAGAGGGAGCTGGGATATCAGATGGGCCCTGAAGAGCTACATGTCTTGGTGAACATTTCCCAGAAGTGTACTGAGTTTCACCTGGGGAGATTTAATACAACTACAATTATCCAAAGATGACAGGATCAATGACCACATGAGAGCAACTGTTAACAACTATAACCTGTCTTAATCAGTTACAGGTAACAATAACATTAACATTCTTTTATAAAATTATAAATTTTTATTCAACTATTATTATCATTAGACAGGAATGGACTCTATTGAAATTACTCAGTTAAATTTATCATCCATGCAAGCATTACCGTGGCAAGTACACGTCAAGTTGGCCAAGCACCGCATGTTTTTCAGTATTAATACTGTTCCCATTAGTTAAAAATCCAACCATCAGCCCCACAATCCTGGGGATTTAAAACTCACTCATTCCAAGGTCACCAACTGTTATCTCTGCAGTTAAAATCCAGCCATCTGGGAAATTTAAAGTCCTGTATTCTTTCCTGCATGACAGAAATTAATCAAAATCTCATATTGCATTTCTTTAGTAAATATGACTATGATGAGTGTACTTACACCAATAAAGCAGATTAAGACCCGCACAGGTAGAAGGAAACAATACCGCATCAAAAAACCAACCATCCAAATAAAGCTTAACCTCCAACTGATGAATTCATAATGGAGGTTCGTTCTTGTCAGTAGATTCCATGACTGAAAGACAAGAATATTTATTTAGCACCTCTGTTTTCTAATCACAACCATATCAATTATAAAAACTACACAGTACAGGATAAAAGATGACATGATGAAAATCAGTGACCACATCAGAATCTGTTACAACTGAAGGGGTTACACAGTGTAAAAGAGAATGAGATATCATGAGTAATGGATACATAGATACTTCAAAGGGGGTCGTTATAGCATGTTTGAAGTTATTATGGTACTATTCACCCTCTTGACAGTACAGCTGAGATCTGAAACAGGTATCTTCTGAATACAAGTTTAAGAAATTATTGTTATATCACTTGATTCAGTGAATAGAACATGGAAAGATTCGGTCAAAAGTGTTATAGTTAGTTGCCTACAGAGAGAAACAGTCTAGATAAAAGATCTGCTTTAGCGTTTCTGTTTTCAGGGAACACCTTGCAGTTGCAGTTAGCTTATTATATACATTTGCAGCTACCTTCCTTGTCCTGGAGGCTGTCTCCCACATCCACAATCCAAGAACATGCATGCGAAAGTGAAAAGCAGACCCACTTAACTTGAAGTAACCTATATTAATGAATTTTATTTCAGATTGTTTTTTTTTCAATTATGCTAGTTTGTTAACAGACCCTTTCCAACTACTGCATTTATTCCACAACACAGTGGCCAGAAAAAATAGAACAGTTTCCATGCCTACACAGAGAAAACTAGCAATTACAGTATTTTTAACAAAAACAGTGAAAATGAATATCTGATTTAGATTATTACGGACTGTTTTAATGCGGAAGTCCGTCCACAGATGTCCCTGTGATAATGGAAGATGAGAATGGAAGAGAAAAGACGGTAACATTTTTTATCCTTCAGAGTGATTAGCTGCCTCCAGCTGCATTAGAGTAGAACAGTTTTAGAACAATCGCTCCTACTGCAGCCATCATCTGTAATACTGAAAACTGTCTATTTTATACAAATTTCTTCTGGAGTTGTTAACCCAGTCACAATGTTGCTGCAACCAACTAATCTACATTCTTATTTTAAGGCATATACTACAAGGAAGTGTACATAATAAGGTGACTAGTTCATACCTAACTGCTCTGACATTCCATAATTTAGTCACACAATCTCTTTCAGCAACACAGTATGAAAATTCTGTTTTGGGATCAAAGTGCTCACCCTCTATGCTGCAGTTAGGGACAAACCTGGTCAAATTATAATTCAGCCTCTCCTGTATACAAAACTGTGATGCACAGACCCATTGCTAGGCAACGCCCGCAACACAAATGCGGCCAACAATACAGAAGCAGTGTTTTCTGTGGTTCCAGCACAGACTGTTGCTATGCAGCGCGCACTAGGCACATTCTTGTGTATGCGGTCATGTAACACAACAGTGGAGAGCATGTGTTTTCTGTGATGCGAGGTCCATACTGCATCTACAGAAGAGAGGTGAATTCCAAGGCTAGGAGCTGTGAGGTACAGAAGAGTCAAGAGAATGGGAATACAACGGCATACAACACAGTACAACAGAATGAGAGTTCAGTTATCGGGAGGAGACAGCCATGGGAAGTTAGCAGTCAGCCTGTGTAGACTTAACATGTGATCTGAAGACTTGATGTGTGCTGCAGTACAGTGATATCTGGAGTATGACTCTTACAGTTCCTGTGTTAAAATCTGTTGCCAGAAAATGGATAGTCAAAACAGCCATTGTTGACCTGTTACCCAGCAACGAATAGTGAAAGGAGATACAGAAGACTTTATTCTGTGTGGTGCAATCACAGTAATCTTTAGAGTGTGTAAACCAGTGAGGCTGTTATAATTATTTGTAGTAACGACCTCTGAGTGTTCAATAAATCCCACAACTGATCCCTCTTTAGCTACCATCTTACTCCTAAGTCTCTCTCTCTCCCCCTACTTTAAACATGTTCTGTCACACTCATCCTCCTCTCTTCATATACGTGGGTTACTTCAAAAGTCATGGAAACGTAATTTTTCCGAAATTTCAAAACCTCCATCCGGAATTTCCAAATTTGACGCTTAGAGACAGCGTCTGATTTCTCATGATGCCGCCAGATGATGCAGAAGTCCAGGGACAAGGAAGCAAGTCCAGCGCGAAGTCAGTGTGATCATAAACTTCATCAAGAATGAACGTTAGCCGGCTGGAACAGCGTTGTTACATGAAAATAGCAGTGCTTCATGGCAGAAATGCAACTGAATGTCACTCAGAGCTTGTGGAAGCTCTGGGTGATCGTGCTCTACCATACAGAACTGTTGCGAGGTGGATAGAAACATTTGAACGTGGAAGAGAAGCAAGTGCCGACTTGCAATGTAGTGGACGCCCTGTGTCCGTTCCTGCCGATGTTTCTCATGCCGTGATCACCCAGTGCATGGAGGAAGATGAGCACTGGTATCTGAAGGAGTTAGAGAGACATACAAGGATTGACCAGGCATCTGTGCATCAAATTTTACAAAAAGACCTACACATGTGCAAGACTGCAGTGAAGTGGGTGCCACACGAATTAAACGAGGTTCAAAAGTGGACACCTTATGAACCTCAAATGATATGAAATGGAAGGAGACAACTTCTTGAATGGGATAATTTCCATCGATGAAACGTGAAACATTGAATTGAATTTTTTGAGGATTAAAGAATGAAAAAAAAAGTCATTCCATATTGTGCAATTTTTCTTGCCTACTATACCTACTCCCCTTCACATCTAACTCATCTGACTAAGCCAATTGCAGGAGTATATCATGCCCTTTCATAAGTATATTTTGAACTTTCTTCACTGTAACATGTTTGCCCAAAAAAAAATTGGTTGCCGTGACTTTTGAAATAACCCACGTATCAACATTTCATTTAACAAACTCCCAAGTTCACTCTAGACTCTAAATCAAGATAAATCATGCCATAGCTTGGTATTTAATACAGGAATTTATAATTTTATACTTTATGATCTATTCACTATTAACTTCAACAATAGTAATTATTATTAAACCACTTAATATTTCATTCAGAACAGTGTCCACTCACCACAATACAGAAAAGTCCTCAGCTTCTCTTTCTTAACTTCTTCCATCTCAGTTGAGTAACCTGCACACGTAGGGATAAGGATTTTGGGCACTATTTCATGCTGTTGAACTGCCACATTTATTTCCTTACTGGGTAAGTACTGGGAGCATGTCATTGCCCGATTACAAACTTACTATTAGCCAATGGGTTTTGAAAGCTACAGTATTGCAGCAGTCAACATTTTTTGTATGGCATAATTCTTCAATCGCTCCACATGATAATATCATGTGCTTATGAAACTTTCAATAGACCTACACTTACACCAAAGTTCAAAATTCGCCTGAAACTGCCTCTATTAATTTGCCTATGACAAATGGGTGGGAAACTTTCTGGAATCTGAATGAATGATTCAGAATATTTTAGGGCAGAAAATGATTCATATTTTTGTACACACCTTAAGTTCTTCAGCCTCAAACCTATGGGTAACTTGGTCTTCAATTATAGCCTCTACTCCAGCCTTAACAAAATTGAGGCAATCAGATAGTTCAAATTCACGCTTCAGTGTCTCAAAAGATCTTCTTCTGGGAAAATTCTGTAAAAAAAATGTAATTTTTTTTTATTTCTTTAACCAAATATAAATTTTAAAATAACTATAAATTACAGTCATTGGTATAAATACAAATTATTTTATTCTGAAATAATCTTCCATTCAACTGTGTTTCCTATACACAAATTCAAATATGCTTCTACACATAACACTCGCGGGCAAGCAAGCATGCACGCATGCACAAAAGAAAAATAATCTTAGTACTTCCCACTGAATCAAGTCTGCACACATTCTGGGTGTCAGGTCAGCATGGAAGATAAAATTGCCATGATGATGATTAGAACATTCCTCCCATTATGTTGCAATAAAACTGAACATGTGACCTATGTATATTTGTCATTACTTTAGTGAGTAAATAAGCATACAGATTGGCTCAGCCTTGTCTAATGTGGATGTGAACACACATTTTTACAAACTTTTGTGACTGGAGCTTTGTTTTCAAAGAGTTCAAAGAGTTCTACCTAACTGAAAACTGCAGACGATTTTCCTCCCAACAGTCACTAACTTGTCCACATTTGGTTAAACACATGAATTGTTCCACCCAAGCAAAGCACGTATGACACAAGCAACATTTATAAGTTGCACAAGATTTTTTGGAGCGATTCTTCCCTGAAAATTTATCAACCCAGCAACTTTCCCTGATATAGATGGCACTCACTTCATCACTCGATAAAAGTTGTGCACTGATTTTCTATCTGCTGTTGGAATAAAATCATCAATGCCAAGAACCAGCTTCACATGGTATTGATGCTTCATATCTGAAGTTGAAAAGCAGGCAGCTGCCTTCTCCTGCATCAATGTTTTCTTTTTCCTTTTCTTAATGTTCTCAACAGAGTAAAGGAAGACTCCCATTGCTTCAGCTGAACTTTTGTGCACCTGCTGAACTAGCATTATAAATGAAGAGAGTCGTCTTCTGGGTTTAGGCACCGTNTAGCATTATAAATGTTTCTTTACTGGCTTCATTCTTGTTAACTTAACAGCATTAATCGCCTCTTGTTTAGCTATGCAGTTTTATTCATCAGGGTTTACTGTATAGGAGGCATGTCTGACAAAGGATAACAAATGCAATGTCTCAGAACAATACTAAAATATAAAATAAGAATACAGACATAATGCCACGAAGTGCTCCGAACTTCCCTGACTACTCATACAAGCTCTTATATGAGCCAATGCAACTGGTACATTATTCCTTTCCACATCTTCTTCTCTTCCTCTCCCTTCAACTCTGTAACAAAGTAACTAACTTCATGCAGCTGAGGCCACCTTGAGAAGCTGCCAGATGCACAGCGGCTCAAGAATTTTCCAACATTTTATGGAACTCAAAGGTTCATAACCGTGCTCACAAGAGCCCTCCACTAGTCCCTATCCTGAGCCAGATCAATTCAGTCCATACCACCCCATTCTACCTCTCTAATATCTATTTTAATGTTATCATCCCACCTACATTTGGTTCTTCCTTCTGGCTTTCCCACCAAAATCCTATATGCATTCCTCTTCTCCCCATTTGTGCTGCATACCCTCCAAATCTCACACTCTTTTACTTGGCCATTCTAAATACACTTGGCGAAGAGTACAAGTTATGAATGTAAGAATTGAGGTTTTCATGGCGGTGACTAAGAAGAAAGCAATTTTCTGGGATTTTGCGCCGTGTAGATATTGTGTTGACCGACGTTTCGGAGGAACGTATCGCCTCCATCTTCAGGGTAGAAGAAAAAGAGAAGAGACTCTGCGACCAAGGAACCACCGCGAGCAGGTGTTCACAGAGTAATGTCGAGTCGAACTGTATAAGGGCAGGAAGAGAAGGGGGAGAGGGGCTACATGGGAAATCAGTATAGTGGAGAGGGGAAGGGTCTGGGGAGGTGGGCCAGCACATAGCAGGCCCAAGCAGGTATAGAAATCGTGTCAGGGCAAGGTTAACAGGAGGGCATTAACCCCGAAGTTTAGGGGCTGCAATGCGAATCGGGCATGGACCTCCGTTGCCTTGTGGATCTGGCGTCATTTCCCGGAGGTTTCTTGAAGGAACAGATGAGAGGCTTCCATGACTTGCTGAGACAAAACCCCACCTCTCTGTTCATATTGTCAGGATGGAGTTCAACCTCAATGGCCTCCCCAATGATGCGGTCCATATATCGGGTCTTGGTGGCGAGGATGTAGGTATTCTGAAGCTGTATGTGGTGTCCCAAATTGATGCTGTGTTCAGCCATGGCTGACTTGTCCGGATGTTCGATACGGATGTCCGATGATGCTCCTTCAACCTCGTGTCCACGGAACGGCCCGTCTGCCCATTGCCGCACTCACAGGGGATTCTGTATACACCTGGTGTCCTTAGTCCCAGGCTACCTTTGACTGGCCGGAGGAAACTAAATAATTTATTTGGAGGCAGGCCCACTGATCTGTTGTGACAGGACAGCACTCTGCTGATTTGGCTGAATATAGTCCCGACATAGGGCAGGAAGGCGACTGAGTCTTTTTATTGTCAGGCTGACTGATGCTCGGATGACAGTTGAGAAGTCTGTGGATCTGCCAGTTGTTGCAACCGTTCTGCCTGAAAACGTCACCCAGAAGCACCAACTTTGCATGTAGGCTGTCTTGATCGCATAGATCTCTAGCCCTGCGCACCAATGTGGAAAGTACAACTTGCTTGTTGGATGGGTGGTGCTGGGATGCAGCGTTACGGTAGAGGCTTGTATGGGTGGATTTGCGGTAATCCCTATGGCCCAGAGAACCGTCATTTCTCCTGTAAATATCCATATCCAGGAAGGGGAGGTGGCCCTCAGTTTCGGACTCCATTATGAACTGAATACACTGGTGTATACTATTTAGGTTGTTAGGGAAGTCCTTAAGCTTGTCGGACCCGTGTGGCCAGATGATGAAGGTGTCGTCCATGTAGCGAAACCAGCAGCGGGGTTTGTGTGGGGCCAAGTCAAGTGCCCTCACAAACTTATATATGGAGGACTTCAAGGAGAGGACTTTGCCCAACCCCCAAGCTGGCAGACCACCCCTTGTGGCTTCAGCGACTCCTTATTCAATATATCTGCAGCCGCCTTCCATACCTGGAGACCATCTTCTCCATCCACAACCTGATGACAAGCCATGTCATTGTAGGAAGGGATCCACTTATTCCTTTCCCTTCATCTTTATTTGCCTATCCTCTTTGTCTCCTATAAATGGCACAATGGGCTTCCCTGAGCACAGAAGGAACTGGCTATTACTTATTTGTAGATGTTCCAACTGTCCATATCCCACCTGAAGTATTGTGCTTTTTATTCTGGCCGTAATTTTTGGAGGTGGTTCCAAAAATTAGATTAAATCTGTACAGGCCTGCATCATATAGCAATCACACTGCAACATAATCAAGCACACTCAACTAGTACCAGATGTGTGACTTTCCATATGTTGCTTCAGAATTAGAAATGGAAGAATATTTGGAAGCTAATACCAATAGAAACATAGACAGTAAAATTATGGTTGAAAGAATGGGACACTGATTTCTATGAACTATAACGCAGTAAGTGTATCAGTCATTACAGAGTGTTTACAAAGTGTTTACAAGCCATATGCTGACACTGTACCAACCATACTGAAGATATGTGCTCTGTACACTTGTTATAAATGATCCTCATAAAATAAATGTACCAACTACAATTTCATTTGCCACAGCTTTGTATATCCTATAATATATAATGTAGCAGAGGGTTACTTACATGTATGACAGCTGTGTGGTCACCCTCAGAGTTCACAGTGCTTGCACTTGTGTAGTTCTGCTCGGGATCTGGAACCAAGATCAAGTCTTCCCTGCTAATCACACTTGTGGAATTGTTTGCCAGCACACCATTCTTCAGCTTCCTGTCCATCTTGTGCAGCATGTGGTTACTGTGATTTAAGTAATGACAAGTGACATTACTGGAACCCTTTTCTTTATCTCTTTGTCCTTCCACATCATCTTCATCCTCATTTTCAGAGTTGTCACAGCTGGTATGGCGGTCTTTCTTTGCAATTTCAATATTTTCACGACCATACTGAAACATACATCCTATTCTTAATGTTGTTATTTAACAAATATCCAAAATTGTACTTCCTGAGTCCAAGATAATTCCATGCAAAACTAGCTGATTTTAAGCTAACCTAAATACAAACCTGTAGTCTCTTGGGAGAGTCATTCAAATTTTAATGTTCATCAAAGTCAACAAATCTGTGCCCTTCTCAGCTCTACCAGATGACTGTTGGATTAATGCATTAACCCTTCCAGTGATTAAGCTACTCAAGTCTCTGATACCAGAGCTACAGGTTTCAACACGACTAACATGAACACAAATCAGACAAATTCAATTCACACTTCACATCACCTGAAGTTTATCCTTAAGATCGATTCTATTCAGTCTTTCCAAATGCCTGCTATAACAATATGGTGTTGCTGTTTCCTGTTTCCGCCATGACAGCTACATGTCCTGCACATAGGTGCATTTTATTGCATTTCTTTCTTTGGTATAGCAGAAGGCCATAACATCACAAGAAATATTACATCCTGTAGTTCCATACAGGTCTTACCTAATTACCCTTTCCCACTCACATCACATAAATTAACAGCAAATCCTGGTGCAAGAAATTTCAGCCTCAGCAACTATATGAAAAACTTATCAAACAATATTATAGGCATTTTACTTCTATTCAAAATGCCTGAGATTTTAGTAAAATTAACGGCAAAATTAAAGTCATAAATATATTAATCCTCTGTGATTAAGATATATGTGATGCAAACAACTGGTCCTTCTCTGCAGAGGAAAAGTAACAGGTATAATTAAATGAAGAAAGACATAGGGAGAATGTAAGAGGCCCTTATGCCATTAAATTGTAGTGATGGCAATAATTATACAATTATACAACCCTATGGGCCTCCACGGCCTGTTGTTTCACACAGCAGCCATGAGCAAAGCCTGGATGATATAAAGCACCTCCACATCAAGATAGCCAGGTGGCACATTATCTGCCCCATATAAGAGGGACGATGGGAGGACGAACATGAGCCTGCATGGTTTACGAATTTTAATTATTGACAATCCAAAAAAATTTTTAATTAGCATCAAGAAATTTTATACAATTTTATAAAAAACTTTACATTCCCAGGAAACTGCTGTGTTTGTGAAATGTGAAATGTCTATATTTTGTGTACTATGTATTGTAGCATATAAGTGTACGTACTTTACGTCAAAACAACTTATGTGACGGTGGTTTCCTATTTGTAGTGATGTTTGCCCTCTGAAGATGGTCCACAAAGACCGAAACATGTAAGGGTGTTAAGTTTTCATGTAGTAAAAAACTTACAGGTCACACTGGACGGAGTGATTTATATTTGTAATTGTTAGTGTGACGGACCAGAATGAAACAAATCAAACTCTTCTCTTAAAAAAAGCAGATCATACTCTGACAAAGCCGACCGTTGCCTTCAAACGGCCCTATTTTTGACAACTGACTTTACACCAGTCAATCCTTTAACAACACTACTAAAGCAGCTGGTTATAATCTAATTCCTGCCTAACAGGCCTACAACAAAATGCGAGGTCATATTGCAACAGGCGTCACTCGTGAAACATAATAAAAATACAATTTTGAGTATCAATGTGACTAAGAGCCAACCCATGAAGGCGCACAGGGCGTGGAACTAATCCTCCAAGCACTAATAATGGCGGTAAGTTGTGGTCATCTCCGGCCGTTTTCCTAGTCGGAAAGAACCCATTGTTATCGGCTGACCACAGCGCTTTAGAGGCATTCTCAACATGGCAGTTCAAAAAAAAATACCAACACCCCTCGTGGGAATCAAACTCCAGTCGTCGTCCATCACTTTACTGAGCAATCGCGGTTGCCTTGTCAAAGCAAGATTTTAATTAATGCATATTTACTTTCTTGTTATAGATTTATTAATAGATGCTTTCAATGTCACATTACTTTAACATTAGCAATAAAGGTCTCAATCTATAATCATATCTAAATAATGAATCAATCAAATGTTGCTCTGTAAACACTATATACTGTTACTGATTTCAATACGTTAGCATTGAGGTCATCAGGTCAACTGCGGCCAGTGCTTGTAAAGCGCACAGGCCTATATTTCACTAAGCATAGAGTCCTTGAACTTAGTCGATACAGACATATCAGCGTGCAACATTTCTCGAGAATATGACACGATCACATACAGCAATCTGGGCAACCAATTGACTCAGTTCTAATTCTGGATACAACACTCACTGACGTCCTCGCATCTAAGGTTTAATACGAAATTAAACTTGGCGGGACTTTCATGTAGCAATCGAGAGGGAAACTGGTTCTGCAAATAATACATTTCTACCAATGTGCCAAAATATCTTACTTGCTTCAGAAAATGTTCACAGTTCTGTTTACTTATATCGCTTCTGTTCTCCGTTTGCCTCACTCACATACGCTCATGGAAATGAGCTGTGTCGTTACGCTCGCCATTCCAGCACATCGGCAAAAAGTTCACATTTACACACCGAAGTACATTTTCGGACATACAGTAAATCTGAATCTTGAAACCTCCATCGCCTGTGCAAGGCATCTGAGTGATGTTGAAGAGAATGTTCAAGCTTATAACAGCAACGATTTCATCTAATTTCTCTTCAGTGAGCATTCGGAGTTCCGGTTTTCTGTTCAGTGACGACAAGGGCATTTACAGCATCTGCTGTAATTTGGGTTGCTTTATCTGTAATCGACCGCCTCTGTGGTCTAGTGGTCAGAGTTCCTGGCTACAGATCCAGAAGTCCCGGGTTCGATTCCCGGCGCTACTAGATTTTCTGAGAAGTACTGCGTCTGCAACGGGGTCCATCAAGCTTCGTGAGGGTAACTGAGGAGTTGTCAAGGAAAGAGCGGCTCCGGTCTAGAAAACCTAGATTAACGGCCGTGGGGAACCGTTACCCTCTATCCGCAAAATTTGGCGCTAACTTCGCCGACAAGCGGTGGTCGCTCGGTCGGTATAGTTCGCTTGCAGACTAGAGGCCACGGAGTTTTTTTTTTTTTTTTTTATTTGTAATCTGTTAGTCTATGGGATCGTCAATTCCGCAGTCAGAATCTCTGTGGGACGACTAGACAATATGAGCATGTCAACGATTTGCAGGAACTGATCACACAGCACGTCCAGTGTTAAATGAGGAATTCGACGGTTTCAAACCACTAACAATGGCACCCTGTCAGCAAAACAGAATCCCGAAGTCTCGAGAAACACGACACAAGTAACATACCGTATTTACGCATGTATAGGCCGCACATTTTTTGCCAAAAATTCAAGAGGAAAACTGGGGTGCGGCTTATATTCGAAATATTCGAAATCACACTTCATTTTAAAAAAAATATATTCATAATTAGTAATACAGGGTGTAATACTCCTGAAATAATATTCCAAGAAAATTATTTGTTCTATAATTTCTGTCTGAAAATTGGGCTGCGGCCTATACACGCACGAGGCCTATACATGCGTAAATACGGTATATAGTCTAACACCTTGTGCTCTCGCACCAATGAAAAAAGGCGTCAAACTCCTGAGATTAACTGTAAGTGTTAAAAACACGATTGGTATGAAACACTGCAAATAAATTAGCCTTCCGTCGGCTCTTATTTGTTTCAAGGTCAGTGACGACCACACTTATTAGCCATCAATAAATAGCAACACTGTTTGTCAGATAAAAAGAAACTTTCTGCTTCTAGAAAATTTCTGAGCCTTCAACCAAATGAGAGAGATAAAGTTACTCATTCACTGTTCGTTGTCTGCGGTGTATTTAATGCTGGACTATACAACATTTCGGACGCTGGTCTACATCCGTTTACATGAGATGGCGTACTGTCTGTTTACTAAATTTTAAGACGCTCCGCCAGCTACCGTGGTTAAATTGCGTAGAATGAGACACAATGGGCATTACTGCGTTCGGAAGGCTGAGAATGAAAGCTGTCTTCAGCGATTTTAAAATCTAATTCGGCACTCGCCTTGAAAGACTAAATAAAACCAAGAAAAACTCAGAACCGGTCTTACAGGATAAAGTACTCTCGAATATCAGACGCATTACGCTGCGCTAACCAGTTTATTATTTATGATTTGAGGTTCTCACAGCTGTGGTTATAAAAAGTTGTATCTTCTACGATATAAAATTGTGTAGTCAGCTGCAAATCAACCGACGTTGCGAAGGAACATGTTGAAAAATTGCGCACGCAAGAAACCAGCATTACGCAGGTAGCAAGCTCTACTTTGCTTGTTGATTCATGCTGGTTTATTCTTCCGCCTTGAAGATGGATGCGACATATTCCTCCGACACATCGGCTGACTTTCAACGGATTATACGGCGCTATATCCCAGAAGACAGGATTCTTCAATTTCATTAACAGCAGCAGCAGCAGCAGCAGCAGTAGTAGTAGTAGTAGTAGTAGTAGTAGTAATAGTAGTAGTAGTACACTACTACGTTTATGTAATTGTATTTATTGTTTATTTCTGTGAACGGCTGGAAAAAAAAACGGATCCCTCTCATAAATGATCATTCGTTTAATGCTCCTTTAACTTCAGACGTTAATAGAGTCGTATTATTATTATTATTATTATTATTATTATTATTATTATTATTATTGGGGTGAGATTGAATTCACTTGGTACTGCGGCCACTACTAGCCCATCGCACCAGCCCCTGATGATAATGAAGATTGGCTGGGGAAACCGAAGAACTGGAAGAAAACCTGCCCCAGCGCCACCATGTTCACCACAAATCCCACGATTTGAACCGGATTCGAAACCGGGCCGCCGCTTTGGGAAGCCAGCAACTAATCTCCTGACCTACTGCGCGGCCCTAATAGAGTAGACTGGTGAGAGGGCACGAATAGAAACGACTTTTCAAACGCAGACACACGATCCAGATCACTAGAAAGTTCGGAAGAATTACTATATTATAATGCGGGTTCTGGAATTCGATTCCACTTGCATCGCTACTGGGAACGACACGTAGTCATACGATGCCTTGATGCACTGGAA